GGACTGTAAATTTTCACTTGTTAAATAGCTAGCTTGACCAATGGCAAATGAATAGGCTCAAAGGTTAAAGGCAATGGTTCACTGAACCCCATAGCAGACTGCATGAGGCATGTTTCCAGTGTTACTGAGCTGTTTAGCTGACCTTTTTGTCTTTTTTTCTGTCTTTTAGCAGGGGAGAGTGTTTTACATTCATGCACAGTCATTGACTAGAGAGGCCCTACACACTTCATTCATCACGAAGTAGAAACGGAAAGCAATAGCACAACTTCCTTACCTGTTGCACATATCAGGACACAGTTGTATGTGTGGAGAGATGTACTGTTTTTTATGACTCTTAGTGGTAATGAAAACATTTTGTTCCATTAGTTCACGATGGAAATAGGAGCTCCTCTTAAAATAGTATGTATTTTTAAAATACAATGCATTTTAAAATATTATGTATTTCAATATTATAACATCAAAATACCATGTAGCAATATTCTCACTGTTGAGCGTTCTGCTGGAAGATAATAAACATGTGACTGGCTTTGAATCTCTTAAGAGGAAGCTGTTCTTGGCTGGTAATGATGTCCAGTATCTGTCAAAAGGAACCACAACAGAGGCAACTTTTCCTCACCTACTTAGCCTGAGGACTTGGCAGGTCTCTTGTACTAAACAGGTTAAATCTGATCTGTATCTGACAGATCTATGATGAAAAGTTGAGGAAGTACTATTGCTAGTTCAGTGCAAGGCAGTCTCTAGTAAGTCTGCTCCAGCATGTTTTCAACTGCTGTTTAGCAGTGAGAGGTGGTTTCTTTCAAGTGTAGCATCTATCAGACCAAAGGGGGATACTCTAGCCTTCTTTTTGGTGGTTTTTAAGATACAGCATCATTAACATCAAAACTAGCATTATAGTTTGTGCACGCATGTATGAAGCAATGTGTGAGACTCAGCAGATGCTGTCCATGCACAGATGTGATTACTCATCAGAAAGTCACACAGCTGTTTCACACCAGGTCTCCTTTGTCTGCCTGTGTTTTCTCTCCAAATCACACACAAGTTTAACCATTCCCTCAGACACTTATTTGCAACTCTCTGAACACATCAAACCATTTCAAAGGATAGCAGAACAGAGTGTAAGCATATCTTTCAGGTTAGTGAAGGAGACTTTGGGGGAAAAAATATTATTTTCTTTAGATGTGCCACGGGAATCACATGATAACAACATTCAGGACTTCAATTTGAATGCCTGTAGGACTGGGGACTGCTGAAAATGTAGGCACTTTTCACTGCCAAAGTGTTTGTGACCAAAGTTTTACTCATGGAAAAATAAAAATGGCACTTTCCAGTAAGGGCATGTGGTTGAAATTTTGATGATATATGTACATATTCAGAGGAGTTTGCTAAATCTGACTGGAGCAAAGGACCAGCATGTTTTCTTTTGTTGCTGACCCGCGGCTTGTTTGATCTAGTGAGAGTTTAGAGTAATCTGGATACTCTCAGAGTGAGGTTCAAACTGTATTATGGTAGGTACACAAAGATACAGGGATGTCTCTCTGTCTGTCTGTCTATCTATCTGTCTATCTATCTATCTGATAATAGGTGTAACTATACCTGATAGAAGAATTTTGCAGTAAGTGAGGCTGCAGAAGTGTGACAGGGAATTTGATACCAAATTTAGTGCTTAGCTAACAGCCTCTTGGCTTGTACTTATGGGAGAACTGAATCTCTGTGTTGGTTCTGCAGGCTTGAAGTAATGAAGAATAATTTGCAGTTAATTCCAAAAGAAGCATTCTGTGCATGTATATGGCTTTGTCTCAGAGGAAGTGTGCTTATTCAAGATAGTATTTAAACATGTATTTAAGCAAAAGTTTAACTATCAGTGAAGTTATGGAGCTAAGAATATGCTTAATTCCCATCCTTAAAGCAGGTCAGAGTGGAACATTTACTTGGGTAGGACTCTGCATTTTTAAACTGATTTTTAAACAGCACAGCAAGGCATCTAGGATATTAGTACTGAATAGTTATTGAAGGATACATCAAAAATTGAGATCTAAGTTGAGAGGCATAACTTGAGTTAAACATAAAGGGGAAGAAGATTTTCAGTCCTACAGCTAACAATGCTGTGGAGTTCCCAGTTAAAGAAGAGGGCAAAAATCTGAAAGATTTAGAAAAAAAGCAGTTGAAATATTTTTGTTGTTAATTTTTCTTTTGATTTTTTTTTTAAGCCTTTAGTTTCCTTTGAAAGAAAGCAATATGAAATATGGTATGCTTAGGTATTTTTTTCTATTAAAAATGTTTGTTAAGCTTCGTAATGTTTCTTTAAAATGTGGTGCATAAATAATAAAATACATGATGACACAGTACAGAGATTATCTTGGCAAAGCCTGGCGTGACTGAATCGCTTACAGAGCTTGACACCTGTGAATAATGTGATCATTGCAAAAGTGTGCCAATGAAAGCTTCACACCTCACCAGTTCGTGTGTACAAGTTTGTTAGTGCATTCTGTTTCAGCACATTTTCTAGTAGTGGATACCATGGATAACTGAGGCTGTGGCTTTTTTGACATGGTGAATACAAAGTGAGAATAGTTTCAAGAAGGAAGGGTCCCACATCCTATTCCTTATCCCTACTGACTCTTGGACGCCTACTCCTTTCCTTTGCCTTGAACCAGTTTTGGTGCTCAACTTATCGCAAGGACGGACTAGCTCAATAAAATGAAAGATAAGTACGGTGGCAAGAATAAAGGAAAACATGACTTTTTTCTTCTTTGTTATTAAATTGAATCATCTTACCTTGGAACCTTATGAACAGGACAGCCATCAGTGGCTGCAAGGAGTTGTGTGTACCAGGCCCTTTGCTGTCTGCTTTTGGGTGCTTACAGGTGCATGCAGCAGCTCAGGCGGGAAACAGCAGGGGGATGTAATGTGTTTCTTGTGTGTTTGCTGTTGGCAGTATTACAAAGTGTATCTTAAGAACCTTAGCCGAGGTGTATGACCAAACAAGCCTGTTACTTACCATGTTTGTGTTCACTGCAGTCGTCATAAATGCCCAGTCCCAAAAGGTGCACCCTGGGATTAAGCTGAGCAGGGTGATCATGGCCAGCTGAAGTTTGTCCACAGCTTGTAGTCAATAGCGGAAGAGCATGAGGAGCATCACTATGGAGTTCTAAAGGTCTTGAACTCCTGTTGAGTAGATGAAGATTTGACTTACCCACTTTTCAATTTGGTACTCTTGATACAGTGCATAAAGCTCTGAGGCACCATCATGCTGTTTGCAAGCACAGATATGGGTGGGCTAATGTGAGCAGGGAGGTGGAGCTGTAGTCTTGGTAAAGGTCTCACACTCCATCACGTTGTTGGCAGCTCGTGTCATGCTGCCTGAAGAGGACACAATATCCCACAGCACCACCACTCCAATTAGAACTCTCTGATCTCACACAGCTTATGTGAGACCTTGAAGTAGAAAAAGAAAATGAGGAGTGTGTTGTATCATAATGCTGAAAGTGTTAGAAAGCAAGAGGAAGCCATGATCAGATGGAGGGAGGGAGGAGCAGTGGAGGGAAGAGCAGGGAAATTCCTCTTCCTTTTAGCAATGGTAAGATATTTATTTCAGTAGCATCCACAGAGTAGCATGTAGGATTTCTTTCTCCCATATTCCTGTGTCAAATATAGCTGAAGACGGGCCATTAATTTCAAAGAGAGTTTGCTTGGAGCGGGATCTGTTCTCAGTGCAAGTAGAAGGATCATTTTTCTTAAAAAAAAAGAAAAAGTAATTTACTGTTATTGTAGATAACGCAGCTACTTAAAGATCCAAAGCATTATGAGATAATTGTGGTTTCCTATGCTCTTGTCTCTGTGGTGTTTGCAGTGATTGCCTTAATGCTTTCTGTTACTAGAAAACAGTACATGTTTAAGGGCACAAGAAACTGTTTATCCCTTGCAAGCACGTCAATTGCACGCGTGCTACACTGAGTGGCTCGGCTTGTGCCTACCCTCCACCGGCAGGCACGGGTAACCCGTTGAACCCCATTCGCGATGGGGATTGGGGATTGCAGTTCTTTCCTGTGAACGAGGAATTCCCAGTAAGTGTGGGTCATAAACTCAAGTTGATTAAGTCCCTGCCCTTTGTGCACACCCCAGGTGGGGATTGGTCTCTTCTCCCAGGCAGCTATCAGTAAAACAGGAGGGCATGGTCTTCAGCTGTGCCAGGAGAGGTTTAGGTTGGATATTAGGAAGGAATTCTTTACAGAGAGAGTAACCAGGCATTGGAATGGTCTGCCCAGGGAAGTGGTGGATTCTCCATCCCTGGAGGTTTTTAAGGTGAGACTGGATGTTGCACTTAGTGCCATGGTCTAGCAACCACAGTGGTACTGGATGAAGGGTTGGACTTGATGATCTCGGAGGTCCCTTCCAACCTGACTGATTCTATGATTCTATGATTGCTCATGCTGTCAGAGGAGAGCACTGTGTAGGCACTACAGCCTGTTGTTTATCAGAATCTTGTGATCCTGAAAAACACTCAAAAATCCTCTTGTGTAGAGATAGCCCTGTGACATTTAGTAGTTTTGCGCTTCAGAGCAATGGGGGTGGATCCCTACAGCACCTCTCTCCATGGCATTTTGTTTCAGCCAAAGGAAGGAAATCTGTAAGTTGTCTGGAAATTACTAGGGAAATAGAATTCCTATTTGCCTATGAAGAAAATGGTGGTTTTTTGTAAGGAACATCAAATTGTTCATGGAAGATGAACAAACGATGAATGAAGCTCTTCAGAACAGTAGTTTCATTTTAGCTGGCTGTATTTATCAACATCCTGTTGTTTAGTATTTCATCTTTTTAACAATATCCCTTTTCCTCCACTTCTTGCAAATATCTCTTTCAGTTTCTGCAGATAGTTCAAAATGTTGAGTGTTGAAATTGCCTGCATGCTATGCCTGGAGGATTCTAGTCCTGGGCTTTTCTCTTCCTTCCAGTAGCTATAAAAATTCCTTTCCCTTCACCCTTTCCTTCTCTCTTTGCAGGTTATCTTGACGAATCAGATTACCACATCGCTGAGCAATGGCCCTGTGATCCAGGCAGACCTGGTGTCTCCAGCTGATGATTTGTCCCTGTCTGAAGGTAAGAGATCCCTCTGTCAGAACTGAAACTTTACACTGACACAAATCCACACTGTAATTTGCAGTCTTCTGTTGATATACAGGGGTCTGAGAGAGTCAAGTTAGCAAGTCTCACCTAAAAGAGTCTGGAAACAAAATTATTTTTCAGTTTCTCTGAAAATCCATTTATAAGTAAAAAGCAAGTATGTGGACTAACTAGAAGGATCTGACACTTTCTAGAGGCTAAGAATGAGTTTTTGAGCCATGTCAGTTCCTCAGTGTTGTACTGTCTTGCACATGCATTTAGAGTATTATTTTCTCAGTCTTCTGAACCTGCTGCAAGAGTAGATACACAGGCTAGGCTGCAAATTTCACCTTCTCTAATGATTATCAGTGATTCCAAAGAGAACCAACTGGTCACAAAAGAAGGAAAGCAAATACTCAGTCCTGTCTCTTGAATTATGTTGTCTGGTTTTCAAGTACAGTGCCTCAGACTGCATCTTTATGTTGTGTGAATGTAATAGGAGGGGTTTTGTAATGCCATATATTATTTTACATCTTCAAGTTTGTTTTTTCTGTGCAGAATTAGAGAGAGGCATGCTCTTTTTGGGTACTAGTGAGGACTCAGTGTACTAGGAAGAAAAGTTAATTTTAAATCAAGATTTGCAAAGTAATATAATAAGTTCAGCTTTCCCCTCTTGCAAAGACTAGTCAGAGTACCCTCAGTCAGGGACAGATGCAAAAAGTTTGTTATTTAGAGTTCAGTTCATGCATAGACCCAAATGTATGATGTAAAGCAATGTTTCTCTTTCCTGCAAAGATGTGATAGTTGCGTGTGGACTTTCCACTTTGTATAACATGCATATTTCTGCTCTTTCTTTCCTTGCTGCGCTTTCTGATGGTTCTGATCAGCTTATCTGTGTTCTAGTTGATCACAAGGCCTCTTAAACTTCTCTGACTTAACACAAGTACAGCCCGGTGGCAAAAAACAATAACCAAAAAAAGTGGTTAAAACTGACATTACTTCTGCAATTCATTTCAGTGGACAAGAGAAAGAGGTTGAGGATAAGTTAAACAGAGTGTCAAAGAGTAGCAAGTAACTTCAGTGCAATACCTTAACACTGATTGATGGGTTTACTTCATAATTTTGTCAATAGGAGCTTGGTAGAGCACGGCTCATTAAATCATTTTGAAATTGCACTTGTAGCTGTGGTTGGCTCTGTCCCTTGCCAAAGTATCTCTGGAGTTCATTGCTTGGATACTGCTCCTTACCTCTGTCAGAAAAAGTTGAAATTCGGTAACTAGATTTGGAAGAGGAAGGCATAGTTTTTCACCTTTATGATTTCTTGGCATGAAATTGTGCATCATCTCATTAAATGCTCTTGATCACAGTACTTGTGGTTTTCCTTGTCTTTTAGAATTGCTATGTATGAACTTTCTCTGAAAAGAAAGGCATAGCTGACTCTGAAGTTGAAGTAATAAAATATGTTCTCAATAAAACATATTTTCGTCCCGTGGTTAAAATATTTGAAGATACTTTGGAAAAAAACATGGACAAGTTGCAATCTTTCTAAATTTCCCAGCAAATATGAAAAATTTTTAGTCCTGAAATCAGGACTATGCAAGAGATGGTGTAAAGATTTTTGTAGCAGTTAAAGGTTATTAATGAAACTATAATGTTTTGCCTAAACTACCACCATTATTTTTCACCTTTTAACCCAAGAATGAGTTAAAATGTGTTGGTGCTGTGTGTCTGTTGTATTCTTTTGTTGCTCTCATTCCTTTTTTTTAAATTAAGGATCTGAAGTGGTAAAATGAGCCAGCATCACAGTTGCTGAAAATGGAAATATTTGTTTTGCTGCAGGACAAGAACAGTACAGTCAGCAGCAGTGCAGGCTCCTTCAGTAATTCAAGTTTTATCAAGGGATAAAGGGCTGATAAACTTCTTTCCTTCTCTCCCTTCCTTCTTCTGTTGACTAACATTAACATGGCATTTACATGCTGTGTTGTGTAGTGGAAGAACACAGTGCATCTTCACACTACATAGTGTTCTCCCTGTGTCTTTCTTATTCATCAATGGCTGCTTCAGGATTTCCATTTTTCATCACTTTTAACACATACTGTCTACCTGTGAGAAAATGTGGAATTTCAGGCCCATTCAGCATTTGATTTCTGTGTTTATCTTGGTATCAAAAGCTACAAGTGTGGACAGTGTGTTTTAGTGGATTTTTTAACATTGAGGTGTTGACCTGTCCTGAGAAAGTTCCCCCTTTTAATATGTTTCTTGTTAGCTATTGAACAGCCTGAAAGTAGCAATACTTTAATCTTCTGATAATTTTTTTTATACTTTCAGAATCCTAAATTAATTAGTCTTCTAGGGTTAGTGTGATATTCATAATACTTACTACTCTTTTACAACTGTAGAATTTGCAGGAAAGAGTAGTTAGGTGAGTAGCCAAAGTGCACAAAGAGGATATGTTGCAGGGTCAGGGATAAGAGGCCAGATTTGTGACTGAGTTCTTACCTCATTGTTCCTTGTCACTCATCACCAACTAAAGCTGAATTTGAACCAGTGACCTAGATGTGAAAGGACCCATAACACATTATTAGTCCTGTAAGCAACTCAGACTACTTGGTTTGTGTATGTCTGATATGTTGTTTTAATCCTATCTGAAATCAGAGTCCAGTCACTGTAAATGGTTTGCTAAAAGGGTAATCTTTCTTAGGGAGAGGCAGAAATGAAAATTTCAAACTGAATGTGCTATTAGAATGAAGTGGAATGTTACAGTGTCTTTTGGTTTTGCTTCTGATTGTGCTTGAGAAGGGAATAGCTTGGGTTATGTGTTAGATTAGTCAAGGAAGCTGTTCATCTGATGTGTGACAGAAAGTTAATCTGATGAACAAGCTGAAAGGACATTGTCAAGCTGTTTCAGGCTCAAGGGTTGTCTTCTGTAGAATTGTAATTTAGTGCATGAGAACTTGTGTCCTAAAAATATGTTAGGTTTTTATGAGAACATTAATGGCTTTGTAAAAGCAGTGCTGGCTGTAAAATCCCACCACTTATGTACCAGTGTAAGAATTCATGAACTGTTTGTTGGTAATTTTTGTATGAAATGGTTATGTCCAGCTAAATTCCCAGATCTGTGCATACTTCTGCTTCAAGACAGATAAAAAAATGCTTAGTTTGTTACAAATTAAAGTGATGAATAAAACACAAAAGTTCTACCCATGATCTGAGCTCTTGCATTCATTTGGCCTTTACATACTTGCCAGATTATCATCTGAAGGAGTTAAGACTAATAGTCCAGCTCCAAAATTCTCAGAGATGTAAGGCTGTTGCTTCTTCCCTGGGAAGCAAACTCAGTTTCTACTTGTAACTACACCATTCTTACATAGCCATCTCTCAAACCATGTCATCACAGGAGATAGACTGGAGGATGATTGTGAGCACTGCTCTTTCACTCTTGCTTTATGAAATAGTCTCTGTTTAGCTCTTCTGATCAGAGGCAATTTCCAGTTTGAGAAGCCTTAAAGTTGTTTTAGATTGCAGGGGTGGTCAGACAAGCCCAGGACTATCGCAAGAACTAATGCTTTATTACTTAGACATAAAAAGTAGCACTTACCCGATTAAAATATTTTTTTTAATAATTAAAAAAAATAGATTTGAACTGCATTAGGCTAAGTGAACACTAGAAAGGGAATGTAAATGTACACAGCAAACTATTTTGCATGACTGTTAATGGATGTTTTTAAACAAGTTATCTGTGGCTGTGACTGTACTATTTTTGTTATTTTCATATGAATAAATTTTACCTAACGTAAAAAGTCTTTAGAAATTAATTCTAAGCCTATGTGTTAGAGTGCTAGCTGGACAGGGAAATTTGTGTGTTTCATTTGTGTGCTGCAAAGAGATAAGACAGTATGACCTACTTGAGGTCCCTTCTAGTCCACCAGTGCCTGTCTTATTAATATATCTGCCAGCTGCAAGCTCTAACTTCCTCTCACAGACATAAAAGCCAAACTCAGTCTTTCTTGGAAAAAGCTCAGGAGTGTGTTGGTATGAACAAGAACAGTATCCCCCTCACAGCATGCACAAAGTGTAAAGCAAAAAAAAGAATGCTGTCTTGGGCTTCTTCAGTCTCAGCTAGTACTTTCAGATATTTGTTTGAAAAAGTCAGAATTATTTTGTGTTTAAAATTGTATGTAAACTTGTGCTAGCTCTGGGGAAGCCAGTGTTCAGTCTTCTGCCATTTGTGCTCATCAAGCAGTTTGTCATAGCATTGTATATTTTTAGTGCACAGTGTGAGCAATGAGTTTAGTCTGACCTTTTCAACTTTGTTGCTCTGATCTTGAATTCTTTTAAGCTGTTGAGCAGAAGTAGGCTTTCGTGTTGTGGAGACTGGAGAAAACTAAGCTGCCATAATATCTCCCACCCACAGGATTTTCCTACTTCAGCTTAGGAGCAGAAGATCTGAAGCTGGAATCTTTGGCTTCTCTTCCTTGCTTCACCCTTGATTTCTAGTCATATTGTGATTAAATTATTTTATTCTTCAAGCCTCAGTTTACCATTTTTTAAAATTTGGGGTTATATTTTTATTCTTCAACTTTTTTTTGCTTTCTTAATATTTCAGAATATTCCTAGGGGAAATATAATGAGTTGACCTCTTCACCTCAGAGTAAGATCAGTTCTGTAGTTTATTACTTCTCTCTCTTCAAATCCTCTTCTTTCAGTCCTGGTGCCAAATGGAGTGAAAACACTGAAGGAATTATCAAGTGAACTGAGGAGCCCCCAGAGATCAGAGGCTGTTGGTTGCTTTTGGTTTGTTTATTTATTGATTTATGTGTGCACTTAATGCTTAGGGTTGGATCTGCAGGTGACTTAATTAAAATAAAAAAGAATATTCTGTGAGACCATAAAGTTACCTGTTTTGCAGGAACTGTGAGCTTACAGATCAAGCAGCTGTTAAAAAAGTTTAAAAAACACTTCCTCCTTGTAGTTTTAAAGCTAACGCAGAATAATGGATGTCCTAGTGAAGTGCTCCAGCATGATATGAATTTAAATGCTGTGGAAAGTATCATAACACTTTGGCATGTTTTAGGGTTTAGTGTTTTAGCTGAATGCTCTGTAAACTGATTGCAGCCTGGTTTACACAATTTTGCTTGAAAGAGAAAATAGTTTGTCTTGGATCATTGAAGCAGTATTGTTAGTTAATTATAATACATTTTTGAATAAGACAATTCATAAATTAATATCCTATCATTTTAATATGAATCCACTATGACTTTCTGAGACCTAAGTATTTGGAAATACCTACTTTAATTTTGTTACCATTATATAATCTCTGTCGAGGTTACTGGGCATGTAGAAACCCAAGAACCATGTGGCATGGTATATGTAAAGTCTTTTGACTGTGACCCCTCATGTGGATCCTGTGAAGCTTAATGAATTTTAAATATGCAAAAGGCAATGAGTACAAATAACACTAATGGTATTGCCAGATTATTTGGAAGATGAATTCCAACAATTACACCATGTCTGTGCATACTAAAGAGTAAATTTCCCAACTGAAACTAGTGTGCAGGTGTGAATCCTAAAGACTAAAGCACATGCCTGAAAAGGTAAAGAGGGGACCTTATCAATATGTTTAAGTATCTGAAGGGAGGGTGTCAAGAGGATAGAGCCAGGCTCTTCTTTGTGGTGCCAAGCAATAGGACAAGAGGCAACAGGCAGAAACTGATGCACAGGAAGTTCCATCTGAATATGCAGAAGAGCTTCTTTACTGTGCAGGTGACTGTGCATTGGAACAGATTGCCTATAGAGATTGTGGAGTCTCTCTCACAGGAGATATTCAAGAACTGTCTGGATGCAATCCTGTGCAATGTGCTCTAGGATGACCCTGCTTGAGCAGGGAGGTTGGACCAGATGACCCATTGTTAGTTCCTTCCAACCTTGCCTGTTCAGTGATTCTCTAATGGAGTTCTCTTCTTGGTTAATGGCTTATGAAGGTAGGGAAGGGCTACAATATAGCATTTGCCTTCTACAGTTAAAATGATACACAGAAGTGTAGTGAAATTTGCCTCTGTGTTTGATTTGATATTAATTACTAGTTCTCGCCTGATGGTTTGGTTGCCACTTAGGCACAATGCCAGCTACCCTCCTGTGATGGGACAGAACAGCTCCATGAGCCACAGGATTCTGCCTCCAAGTCTGAGCCTTGGGCATTGTGACTTTAGTGTCAGAGTTGATAGAATTATTTAACTCACTGGTTCTCGTTCGTGTGAGCTCAATAATGGAACAGCTGGAATTGTTTCTTTCTAATCCTTTATTTTGGTACTGGCCTTCATGTCTCAGCTGTCTTTTAAGAAATTGTTCCAGCATAGACCCTGTAACCCACTTCACCAGCCAACAGTGCTGTGGGAAGCCTTTTATTCCTTCAGTCTGTTCTGTCTTTGAGTTACTTCTCCAGCTTTAGACCTTTCATGAAAAAGATTATTAGCCCCACATACTCTCGAAGGTGAGAGAGGAGCTTATCTTCCTTCATCTGCTAGAAGTCAGCACAGTCCATCTACTTCAGGACAGGTAAACAGTGGGCACTGAAAAAAAGAGGTGACCTTGATAAAACTCATTAATACATGTGGGAGGGAAAAATGCGCCTCCTCAAAATACAATTTGATTCTTGTGCTTCCACTGTGTTTGTGTTTCTTGTAACTCTGTGCTCTTAACAGTAGTAGAGTCTGCCCCCCAGTGCTTCAGTGGAAAGAAAAAAGCCTTTCTGGTTTTTGAGAATGCCACAAGGAAGTGCACCATCGTTACAGGGTCTGGAACAAATGATATTAACCATTAGGGGAAATGATACTGTGATTGTTTCTGCACGAGGCAGGGTTGCGGTGGTATATGGAGCAGTTAGATTTCACAATAACAGTGGTCATGTTAGCCTGTACTAATTTTGATGCTATATTTCACTAAGTGGGAAGTAACGACATAATAACATCTAGCCAAATTTTAACGGCTTTTTAATCAAAAGATAAGTCTCTCAGTAAAACATTGTTACAGAGACTGTATGTCTGGAAATGTCAAGCTGAATGACATGCATAATCACTTGACATAGACTATGGAAGGTTGAAAACTGTCAGCAGGAACACTCAAAGACCTCTATATATCAGTTTAAGAGAATCTCCATTCATCATTTCCTAATTGCTATGATGAGAGAATACAAAGTTTTACTGCTTTGTTGTGGTTTCTTTCTGAAGACGTGATATGACTTACAATCATTAATCAACAATTTGTAATCCAGAAAGCCTTCAGGTACATTTGCTGGGAATCACTCATCTATGTAATTAGAAGCACGATAACAGAAGTGATTACAGTCATAGTTGAGTGGTTAGGAGTTACCACCTCTCAGCTGCTAAGTAACTTACCTCGACTGAAAAGAAGTGCACCAAGTACGTGTTACACCTTCCAATGCAAAGTAGAATGGGTTTGCATGAATCCTGCTGCACACACCAGTTTATTCCTGTGTTCCTGTAACTGCAGTAAGCTTGAGAGCATATATGTGTCAGTCAGTGAGTTTCAGTGGATGGCATATAGCTGTAAAGCATTGTAGCAAGATTGCAGTTGGTCATTTCTTTATGCCCTAAAAGTGTTTAAAAATAAGATTAACTCATTCTACAGTGTGGGTGAATACTGAACTTTTTCTGTGGTCCTGCAAATCAGTGGTTCGATTCAGAAAAATGAGACATGGTTTGGCTCTAAATTCCTTCAGCAGTCCTTCATTGCACCCCAGTGTTGGTGGAACTGCTCTAAACTAATTTATCTTTCAAATTACATTGTAAAAAATGAATTCAAGGGTAGGAAAGAGCTAAACAGCACTTGTCCCTGTGCACAATGACCAATTAAATTCTGTCTTAACTCACCGTGGATTATCCTTAAATCTGTACAGAGGTTGAGGAAAAAATATTAAATTAATATTTATCATTGAGTAGGATTTAGTCCCATTTCTTCTGGAGTTTTATAGTACCAGCAATGGATCTTTCTTCTCAAAGAACTGGGAAGGGATCAGAAGGATTTTGATTTATGGGAAAACATAACTATGGGAATCATATTTGTCTTGGGGCATTACATGAAGCATATGGCTCACCTGCAGAACTTGAACCAGTTAGAAGTGACCCTAGGTGCAGGTGTTATGCCAAAAGGGAAGGTGAGGGTGAAGGGACAGAGGATACTTTTAGAGTCAGTTGCCTGTGTTCGAGTTGCAGTTCCAGCTGGATTTCCTCTGGGTTTACTGCAGGATGTTTGAAAAACTGGCTCCTTGTTAATCTCAGGCAGCTTCTGTGATTGATGATTCCCCTTAATCGTAAAAAGAGCACATGGGTGTTTCTGCTTAATTTGTGTCTATTTCCTGCTTTATTATTGTAATAATGATTTATTGTCTTAAATTATGGAAGTTTTATAACCTCTTAGCCTTTTTTGGAGGTTGAAGCTGGGCGCTCTGGCATGTGAATGAACTTCTTCCCAGTGACAGTCTACTCCTAAAATGTTACATTCAAACCCAAACATAACATGATAATAAAAGACAGTATATAGTTGGTACATTACTTCTTAGTTTAATTAAAATAGGGAACCTTGAGTATGAGCAGATTTTGCATGCTTCACAGAGACAAAATTAATCTAATCTGTATTCTGCTAGTCTTCTCATAATATCAGTTATACTAAAAAATAAAATTAAGAAATATTTGGAGAAAAGCAACCCAAGTGGTCACAGTGCAGTACAGAAAGATGGGTAAAGAAATGGTAGAGAGAGGAAATGCCTGGAGGTTAACTAAAGGAAGGCTATGTTTACATTAATTTCTACTCTCCTAAAATGTCCTGCTGTTACTCCAGTCTCCTAGGTGAGCCACAGTCTACAGAAGATTCCTGCATGAGCTGGTGCTTAACTACTGCCAGAAAGGGTAAAAAAGACAATGGCTCAAGTATGAATAGCTGCACTATTAACAATGGAAAATTTGTCAGGAAAAGGCAAAACAGATGCTACTGCTGGGTAAGCAGCCATGATTCTTTGGGAGTAATTTGAGCCAGTCTGATACCTGGCAGGGGAGTTGTTGTTTCAGGCTGGCACATGGATATGTAAGGCAGTAGTCTGGGCATGTTTTAGCTGAATATCCGGAAGTTGTTTCTGAGCGTGAAATCTGTTAGACCAGCTGTTCCCAAATGGTTTGTGTTTGTGCCCCTGTTTCTGGTGGTGAACTCACCCCAGCCAAGCCTGCGACCCCAAATACTAACATAAACAATCACATCTCTGTCAGTCTTGTGACCCCACTCTGTGTGGCTGTGACCCTGCTGGAGGTTACAACCCCTGGTTTGGGAATTGTTGGGATAGACTGTCAAATAGTCCTGCTGGGGGAGCACTGATATGCCCCATCCAGGCCAGGATCATCACAACAAATGCCTTCAGATCTCACAGTAATTTGTAGGTCCCTGCCACTAGTTCGAGACTGCAGCTTATTAGAGCTGACATGTCACTTTGGTACATCAGGAACATCTTGGAGATCAAAAGGTCATAGTCCTCCCACGCTGCCGCAGTCTTTCTTCATGGACGTGCCTCTTCGTCTTGCTTCTCCGTCAGCTGGCTGGCAGTGAGCCCCGGCGCCTTCATGGCGTGGCTGATTTGGCCACAACTGCTGGATGTGTACCAGCTGCAACTTCTGCCCCAAGCCAGCCTTTTCAAAATGGTTCTCCCTGAATACTCCTTGCCTTAATGAAGGGATTGATGTCTATCTCTCTCTGCTGAAATAATTAAAAGCTGTATAGGGAACTGCTAGTGGAGGTGGGCTAAGCCTTCCTCTGTGTTTTGTAAAACTAATCCTGTTATTCATATACATGTACATATGAGCACAGTCATACAGATGTGGGATGCTGATGGAGAAATAAACAGAAGGTGGCCATGTGTGATTACTGGTGTACTCTGCAAGACTAGGGGCTTTGATAAGCCATGTAAACAGTCTCCTTAACATAAAATGCTAAGTTACAGATGTCCTAATTAGAGATCTGATTCTTAAGCTTTGTTCTTCTTCAATTTTAAATGGATTTTGTGAACAAAAATGAAAATAGGTTTCAAATTTGCTTTTTTGAAAGCATTTGTTACCATAATTTAAAGTAGTAACATTTAAATAGCTAACTGATAATTCAAGGCCATTGACTTCAAAGTTTACAGTCATGGATATTTGACAGTGGCACCGTTGCGTAAATCCAACAAGGGGAGGAGCCTGCAACAGATAATTTATTTGAGGTACATTTTTGTCAATAGATCCTGGAAATTGCCAATGATGACAGGAAGGAACGAGTACGATATGGTGCAGAAAAATATCTTATCACTTAGATAAAAACCTGCATTGCATAAAATTAGCCCAGAATTCAGTCAGCGTAAGTCTTGTGTCAGAGCTCTGTGTGGAGTGCTTTGTTTAAGGATGTTGCTGGACTGGTTTTCTGTTAGGCAGGTGCATAGAAAGCATTACACTAAATATGAGAACAGCAAAGTCAAGTTGTGGAGTGTGTAAGCCACTCAAGAAAATAGTCAGAAAATCTTATGTTACAGGCTGGTTACTGCACATGCCACTCCCAAATGAAAAAATTGTTTGAAACAGCATCTGTAACTTGATTGTCCCTTAAGCACTAGTTACATGTCAGAAAATGGAGTCTCCTTCATCTGTCCAGGTTGGATTTGGTGCACAAAGAAGCATATCCAATTCATAGTGCCTCTTAGGTAATCAGATTAATATCTCCTGAACTGAATTTACCCTTTTGATACTGAGTCTTTCATATGCCATGTTTCACATATCACGTTCTGTTGAAGCTCTGCGGCTTTTCAGTAATTTCCTTGAAATCTATATGTAGTATGTCTGCCCTCTTTTGAGCTGTTCTTGGGACATGCATCAATTAAATATGTTTCTGGTACTCTCTTAATGGCGTAGTTTCCCTGGGGTGAAAAAGTGCTTCAAAAACTGAGATAATTTGTTTAATTTAAAAGCAAAAGGGTATGGAACTACAATTTCAGACTTCAACATCTACGTTCCTGTAGCTTTGAAGGACTGGGGAAAAAATCTTAATGTCTTACACACAAAATAAATAAATTCTTGAGTTCTTAAATACCTGATTTCATCCAGATTTTTGCTTCCCTTGCTTATCTTTTAATTTTCTTTCCGTTTTTTAAATGGTAGATTTTCAACTTGTCAAATTTCATTGTTTGCTGGTTTTGCTTAGTGTAACAGAAGGCTGGATTTTGTTATCTGGGTCTAAGGAAGAACTGTAAGTGATGAAGGATGGTTCTTAATTAAAATTAATGATAACCAATCTGAATACAGAATTCTGTTTTAAGTCATTGAGGCTTTTGGCTCTAGGACATTCTGGGAATGTATACTGTATAGGAGTTCAGATATTTTTTCAAGTACACTGAAAGTCATCATGGCCAGTTTTCGCGAACGAAGATTTTGGGAAAGGTCTTTACCCTTTGAGCCTGCGCAGTGGATTTTTTAGGTGAGACACAGTATGCGCTGAACTGAGCCCACCCTTTAATCCTAAGGTTCATCTGCTGGGGCCGAGCGAGCTTGGACGGTGGCAGTGAGGTCCTCAGGACATAGGTTTGTTTAGAGTGACCTTCTCTTAGATGGATGGCCTTACAGGGCTGACGAGCTCCATCTGCCCGGAGGAGTTCCCTGACCGGGAATCGAACCCGGGCCGCAGCGGTGAGAGTGCCGCATCCTAACCACTAGACCACCAGGGAACCCCACACTGAAAGTAGAGGTACATAAATTACCATGTTCTACCAGATCACTCCAGTAAGATTCATTCTGTACCTCATATATCTTTTAACCTGCATCTGCAGTGGTGTTTCCATTGAGATTTTTGAAGCAAGTCCTCACTGATCTTTGCTTGCTGCATGTTTGTTCATTTTGTGGGATGGTTTTGATGTGCAACCAACTAGAGAACTTTTATAGGAAATTAAACAAGATCCAGTAGTGCTCAAAGCCATCGTGAAGGCAGAAGAATCTAAGCTAACGACTGGTCATCAAGCCACAGTCAGAGCAGGGATGTTCTCACCAGAGCAAGTGAGTTTGGAACAGAACAATGATGCACTTACAGGGTAGCTGTAGGGGGATCAACACCAACTCTTTCGCCATCTGACACTGTTGTGCCAAATTATTCACTATTGGGGACTTGCTTCTTAAATAAAAATATAGAATGTTTTCTCTTGTGTGTTTTATGTAAGTCAGGCAATACAGACCACTTCCAAAGATCAGTAGGAGGGGTTACTAATAAGCTGTAATGCCCATTGCCTGACTTGTGGTTACTGAGCTCAGGTAATGCTTGATTACAAGAATCAAGAGTATGCGTTTCAGCAGGGTAACAGCTCAAATCCTTGCTGGTAGGATTTGACAAGCTCGTTTGTGCTAAAGCCTGAGCTGCCGTGTCTTTTATTTACTGTTGTTTATGCTATGAAATACAACATTTTGCCTGCCCTTGGCCTGTGGTGACATCTCAGCTGCAATAAGCATATGCCCCAATACCAAGTTCCTGGATCTGGTCATCCTCAGCATCTGCTGATGAATGATCTTTCATAAGTCTCACCCACCTCCCTTTTTCCTTGCTATTTCCTCTGTTTTAATTTCAAACTGATGATGTTGATGTTCCATTTTAAGACTTGAAAGGATGGCTGTTATGTTTGAGAGTTATGTTACCCCACTGAAAACTGGTACCCGCTGAAGGACAAGTGACTATGAAGATGGGCCTTTTAAGCTTTAGAAGTCTGTAAATCTTTTCTTGTTAATGTTCGGTAGGAATGAAGTTTAGGATAAACTTCATTGCTTTCAAGCTAATACAGTGCCTTGTCAGTGACCAAATCTGAATCTCAAGGGGAAGAGTTCACGGTGATTCAGGTTAAATGCCAAAAACCTCATGTTCCTTGGAGCCTTTAGTTTGTTCTGTTGACTGTTCACCAGAATCCTGCAAACTAGCAAAGACTGGTCACGTTATTTTCCTCCAGGTTAGTATGAGGTGACTCCAAACAGCATGGGATCAACCTGTCAAGTCCTTAATGGCCCTAGAGTTTGTTGTCATGGCTTATGGTCAAAACCTGCCCAGTTCTTCTTTTCCTGAGGGTGCATCTGCTTCTTAGTCACCACTGTGATGGTCATGTGAGCTAGCATGAAATGAGCTGTTGAGATCCAGAGGGTTCCAGCGGCAGATGAGTCACAGAGGCAGAGAGGTCAGTGCAGGCTCATCTTTCTAGTATTTACCATGCACAGTGTAAATATATCCTGAGATGAACCTGCCTTCTGTTAAAATGAAACATCTTTTGTCTAGATGAGAAGATCCTATGTGTGAGAAGAGGCTCTGTCACCTTAATGCCATTCTAAAAGATTAAAGGACTTTGAAAACTTATTTTAGCTTGGATTTCCCTTAAGTAGAGAGACCTTGTTTTCCTCACTTATTTTAAGAAGACATTTGACTGCAGCAGGCTGAATAGTAATTTTGAGCAAGTTGAAGTCACATGGAATAGGGTAGGGTAGCTCTGCCCATGCAATATAGATCAATTTTGAGTTTATTATAGCTTCAGCTCAGGATTTGGTGATTGTTTTTTCTAAGATGGTAGAAAGTCACCTACACTTTGATGTAGTGCAGTTTTTAATCAAATGCATTTTAAACAAATAAATAAATGATTAAACCTTACTGTGTCTGTAAAACACTAGATTTTCAGCAGACTTCAACATTTTAAAGTACTTATTTTGATTGTACTGAAAATTTTTGTGACAACTATGGCTTCCATGAAAACAAAGAAGTGTTTTATCAGAAGTAACATGTTCTGTGGGGATATGTCTTTGCTGGTAAAATAAAAATCTTGAAAACAATAAAGGAGACAAGGCACAGGTTTTTGATCAGAACTAGAGACATGCTACAAAAAATGACATCTGGGTTATTGTCTGGATGTTTCTTTTTTTCCTCTCTCTCATAATTCTTGCACCTTCCCAACCAAAAAATGTTGTTTCACAAGGTTTAAACTTTGCTAAACCAGTGAAGATTTAAACAGAAATAAAACTGTTTACCAGTTGACCCTGCTTCTTTGTTCCATATGAAATTATGTGGTGCTTGTCTTGCATTTTGAATAGGTAGCTGTGGTATTGGCATACCGTATTCTAATCACTCTGATTAACAATTCCTTGCTATTGGTTGCCTTACATACAGTGGTCAGCAATTCCTACACTCAATGATGCCATTGAAAATGTTTGAGATTGCTGCCCAGTTTCAGCAGTTTAATTGCTAATGATGTGTTATTGCTTCAGAATTTAATAGCTGCTTCTGGTTATGATGAAGTTGGTTTAAACCTGCAAACTTTTTAAAACTTCATTTGTCACTTCCTCCTTGCAGTGTGGTTTCCTCCTTTCCTACCTTCAACACGTTGTGGTCCAGGGTGTTGGGTGAGGTGACATGTCCTATTTTACACTCAATTGGAAAAGACTGCGTCATGGGCACTTGAAGCTCCGTGGGGTTTTCTTAGTTGAGATGCTCAGATGTGGCTTCCTGTCATCACCTGATTACTTTGAATGCTAAAATGATCTTGTTACCTTTGGTATTATTGTCTTAAACTTAAGAAGAGAACAGGCATAGGTTTTGATGTTACTCCTGTGTACTGCCTGTTGTGCAGTGAGCACAGTGATGATCAAAACATTACATGGTACCTCATAGTAAACCTCAGAAGAAAGCGTCTTGTTTGTCTCATGGGGTGCTTCTTCTGCCTTTCCAGTCTTCTCTCCATCTCTAGGGACATATTGATTCAATTAGCAAGGCAGTCATACTCTTATTGACACACAGGTCTTTCAAAGATTAAATCAAGACATCAAGACCTAGTGATACCAATCCATGTCAGTAAACAGGAGACTTGTGGAATCATGTGATGCCCTGACTGGTGGTGGTCAGTATAAACTTTTCAGAGCAGAGACTTGTGCCTTCAGTGTCTGAGCATCCTGTTTCTATTACCTAAAAAAACAAATGATGATAATTTCTTTTGTCCATTTTTATCTTTGTCTCACTTGACCATGTAGTAGCAACAGAGTTGATATTAATAGAGTATCCTTCCTCTTCCCTGTTTCCAATGACATTAGACATATCTTGTGCTTGCAGGTACTGCAATCAAAATTGTCAAAACAAATAGACCAGGAAACAAAACTTTAGATGTTTTTCCAAATCTCTTAATTCACCAGCCCCTAAAAATGGCCCTGCCATGCTTTCCTGCCATTTCCCAATTCCTTGCAAAGGGAAACATTAAAACAGCCATATGGTAGATGCATTCAGTTGGAGGGCTCACGGTCAGCTTCTTATCTGATGGAACTACAAAGTTCAACATACAAAATAGTGTCATTCATTGTTTATCCTCAAAATTTCAGCAGAAATGTGTTAAACAGTGCTCAGCAGGATCGCTGTAGCCTACCTCTTTGAAAGCAGCTGGTGATTTGGGGTACTCAGGTTCTGGAGTATATGTTAAAATGGCTCGAAGAGCATAATGGTTTTCTGATTTGTTTCGATTTTGGGTTGTTGTTTTATGTTAGAAATCAAGACTTAAAGAATCAGACCCTTCACTTTAGGCTTCTGGATAAATTGAAGTATGAAAAAATGTTTTCCTGTACATTTTTTTTTACTTTTAAAAGAACTGTACTTTCTTCCCTTGTCTTCCCATTTTCTTTCTATGATAGTCCTTAGTAACACTTTGAGGTACTTCTGTGTTTTCTTCTGCATTTTTCTGACTGCCTCTTTCTTTCTTTTTTTCCATCTACAGTCTGAGCACTACAGGTTGCCCAAAGCAGTTGTCCTGTCTATATCATGAACGGTTTTCAAAATGTTGGTAAGCCCTAACTAGTGATTAATAGCATACATACAGACCTAGGACATCCCAAACTTTGACCTAATGAGAGACCTGGCCTGCCAAATCTTTTGCAGTACACATCCCCTTGTAATTCACAGCCCACTTCTCTCATATTAATCCCAGGATAACATTAAACTGCCAGTAAGTTATAGCCTTCAAAGGTTGACATTCCTTGAAAAAATGACTGGGTGTAACATCAGTGATGAACTTACCGTAACTAACCAGATGTAACCAAGGTGTGTTTAAAGAGAGTGTTTTAAATCCCACCTCATGGACATTTTCCTAGCACCTAATATAGGCAAGATAGAAAGAATTCTGGTCCTTTCAGAGTATTGACACAAACAATTGTGCCTTCTACTTGCATCTGTAGTTAGGACTGTAGTTAGGACTGTACTTCTTAATAGATTTTAGTGTTACTGTAAGGCACTAAGCTAAGCTCTCTGCAAACCATAGTCTCCTTCCTCTTGTCCTTAACACTGTCAAACACAAGCAGTGGTTGACACAAGCTGTTCTACTGGTTTATCATTATATTTCAGCTTTCATCTGGAGACTCCATATCCAATCAATCAGCATGGAAGCTCAGACTCCCATTTAGTCCTTTGCTGAATTTCTAAAGTTGTTGTGAAGGTCATTGGTGATGTAGCTCCTGCAGTATGTAGTGAAAATGGTAAGTTGGCAAATTAATTTTGCATCAAACTGTAAACAACTGTCTGATGGTTATAACATTCAGCTACTACTGATCTGTGCTGGATGTAAACCAGTGACCTTAAGGTGAAACATTTCTCCTAGAGTTAGTTGGTTTCTTGACTTAGTCCAAACTAATGACCCTAGAGCTAGCTGGTTTCTTAACTTAGTCCAAACTAATGACCCAGCAGTGAAAACTGTATTTCACTCCATGGCCAAAGACTGAGTTAGAAACTCTGAGTAACCACAGTTGATGGACCACAGTTTTTTGAGCTTTAATGCACTTGGGCAGAAAGTGCTTGGAGAAATTGCAACAATAACCTGACAGATAGACCTGATTCTCTGACCATCTCTTTCTGACCATCTCTTTCTGACCATTTCCACCAGCAGGTTCCCTGTGGTTCTAGACTTAAGGGCCTGTGTATGATACCTATATATATTTATGTACACAGGTGTGTTTATACCAAGCTATTTTGATACTTATATTAGTTTATTTCCTTATTAGTGAAGAATGAATGTATATGCAAATGAAGGCTTTTACTCTCTGTCCAGACTGTTCTCCCAGCAGGTTTACTGATAGGATAATCCAGTATCCGTGAAGTTAGTCAGTGACAATTCTGGGGAACCTACTTCTGGCCTCAGAATAAGTCTTGGAGGAGACAGGTCACTGATAAGAAAGTATCATGCTGTTTACACTCACATGCTTGTGCAACCAACATTGCAAAAGGTAACAAATAAAAGATAATGTAACATAGTTTTTAAAGTTTTACCTTTGGCCTTTGGGCTTTACAGATAAATATCTGATGGACCATCGGTGGACCGGGTAAGTCCATTTGTTATGTGCCTTTTGACTGTATTTTCGTTTTCAAGATACAATCTGTTGCCATAAAATACAAGTTCTAATATATACTGAAGACAACTATAAATGCTTGTGACTAAAAACAGTTAATAAAGTGGGTGTCCATATTACCCCAGATGTCCAAATTATTTGAAATATTAGTGCATACAAGAATGCTGGGATGCTAGAATGAAGGGGCACTTTCCTTCTAAATACCAGCAGCTACTAGTAACTTTTTTGAAGACTAATTTTCATTTGTGAATTTAATTCTGTGGAATGGTACCAGATCCATTCTATCAATGTGATTGAAGGTTTCCCATCAATTTCCAAGATGGACAGCAGGACTGAAGGCTTTCCCCCTTTTGACTTACAGCATACTTGCATGCAACTTTTATGGGACATGTTCATGGCTTAATGGGTTATTCCATTTCTCTTCTTCTCTGGTTTTTAGCTCCTTTTTAAAGATTAGCCAACATTCTGTGTAGTTCTACCATAGCCAAATAAAGGCAATGTAAATCAGAGGAAAGAATGGAAGTTTGCGCATACAGCATAAGCAACAGCCTTAAAAACCATGATAAAGAGATTATCCTGGGGTTGAAAAATAGTTGAAACTTTCTCAACAGAAGCTGTCTTTCTAATCAGCTCTGGCAAAGAGCCTCTCAGTGGGATCCTGATATGCTTTATCAGGATTGCCAAGTAGAAGGGGGAAATTCTGTTTATTACTGTACCCAGGACT